CACACACACACACACACACACACACACACACACACACACACACACACACACACAGATGACATTATCGCCCCCCACTGTTTACATGGAAGCACTTCATTAGAAAAAAAAACCATTAAAATAAACGGGTTTCTGTGTTGTTTCCAGCACGCGCACTCATCGCAACACTTTCATCACTAAACAACACAAAATATTTGATACAGTCCGTGATACATTTAGTGTTTCTATTGACTCAGTCTTAATGTGAGAGGCTGAACTATTATTATCCGTCCATTAGCAAACAGTTACAGTGAGCTCGCGCACAGATTAGCTATTTCACTAATAAACAGTTGAAACATAATGGCCGCTTCTTTAGTTTGTTTTAGCTTCAGCGCCTGAGAGCAACTTTATCCTTTGTGTTAACAACCATTTACCAGTTTCGCTGCTCTCCCACACCGTTTCTCTGACTTTCCATCTAAATAAAACCACTTTTCCCACTTTCTTTCTTTCTTTCTTTCTTTCTTTCTCAGGGTTAAAAACAGACACTTCGGGGCTTACCTTAAAAGGTGAGCGGCGTCCCGTCCTCGCGGCTGGTCAGGATAAATATCCTTACACACGGTTAAAAAAAATAAAAAATAAAATAATAAACACGGGCTGTGAGAGTCACCATCTCCCACTTTCAGTCTCAGCCTCCAGACTGGAGCAACACACGGACCATAGCGATACCCATCCAGCACCTATCTGTGATGACAACACGAGACGGTATAGGCTCCGCCCACCCGGAACAGGAAGCACTCACATGTCAGTTTATCGCTTCACATGTGGATCCAGGTTGTTTGGTTGTTTGATCACAGCTACAAATGTCCACTTCAGATTTAATGCTGATAATGAGGGGAAACAAAAAGTGAGGTGGGCTTTGGTGTCAGCACAAGAATCMTTTCTGCCCAGGCTCCACAGTGACACCTTCTGGCGAAAAGCAGGAAATTTTAATTAAATTCACCTTTTTTTTTTTTGGCTCTGATTTTACTTGTGTTCTTATTTTTTTTATAACGTGACTCATTTTATTCTGTGACAAATTCTTACGCATCCATTTCCAATTAAACCCATCCTGTTTTTACAATGTGGCACCGAGAGTAAAATAAAAAATGTCACCATCTTGTTTTCTTTATTTAGCTCACTGTCTTGAGTGTAAAATCTTATAGTTTACAAATTTCCATTATTGTTATTTAGATCACTTTTCCTAAATTTTGCTATTGTTTTAATAAATGTAAAAGCCACACACCATAGCAAAACTGTGTTCCATTCTGATATGAGTTAAATGTAAAATGTATCATTTAGCTCAGTGTTTCCCAAAGTTGGGGTCGAGACCCAAAGTGGGGTCCTGAAACATCAAAGTGGGGTCCTGACAAGATTTTCTGAATTAATTAAGTTTTTGCCTTAGTTGTTACAAAGGAGTGAGGTTAGTATATTTAAAATGGATAAATGTAGTATAAAAAATATTGTTACTATGCCCATGTTTTGTTGACCTGATACAAATGTTTATCATCCAAACATAGTTGTGGGCACAGGTCTCTGCTACTGTTATTTTGTGGGTCAAAAGCTGAAAAGTTTGGGAACCACTGCACTTTGGTTCCCAAAGTTGGGCTTGGGACCCAATTATGGGTCATGAAGCACCTTGGATAATCTCCAGAAATAGTTGAGGTCTGAATGGTGTTCTGCATAATGTAGCAATTCAGACAAAAACAGATTAAAAAGAGGCTTCTTGGCAGGAAATTTGCATTTATGAATATGAAATTTAGCTAAAATTAATTATAGATTAATTACATAAAGTTTTTTTTCTTAGACAGGCAGACATTGTAAAAAAACAAAAAGTACATCTGTATAAAGGGAATCAACAGCATTTCCCAAACACACCAAGCCATTACGTGACGTCACATTTCCGCGACGGCTGTTTGTTTCCATGGAGCAGAGAGGAGCGTTTAGCCGAAGCTAGCGGATTAGCAACAGTTTCTTATCCGCTCCTTCTTTAAATAAATCCAGGATGTCGGAGGGTTCGGAGACTCTCTTTTTATTCGAGTTTTTAGTGGAAAACATCCGACTCGAGCGACTCTGTCCAGGTTCCGCCCGGCTGGCTCTGTTTGTGCGACTCCTGGGTTTCCCGCCGCTGCTMGTTTACCAGCCGAGCCGCGGCGACACGGACCGGCAGGACGAGACGGGGAAACCGGGTGAATATGTGTTCAACAGAGGTAAATCCTGCGTCTTCCAGATGAACCTGGACTCTCTGCTCAGCCAGCTGCTGAACGCCCCTCTGCACGCCGCGGTGCTGGACGTGTCCGAGGACAGACCCCGGCTGGTCGGCACCTCTCTCATCTCTCTGGCCAAAGCGGGGGACAGAATGAAGCAGGGGGGCGTTTCAGACCCCTCTTCCCTCATAGAAACGGGCCTTTCTGCTTTCTGCGACCTCGCCGGGGAGCAGATCGGAACAATATCCCTGAGGTACAAACTGGTGTGTCTGGGAGCGAGCTTACTGCCACACATGACAGACAGGAGGGGATTTAAAAGCACCGGYCTGCCTGGAGGAGGTCAGCCTGTCCAGGGGGGGAACAGATCTCCTGAGAAGCTTAACGACGAAGGAACCGGTTCAGAAATCCTGTTGGGCCAGGATGAACTGGATGAAAGTCAGAATGAAAACTACTGTGAGGATTTAACGGCGTTCTGTCCTCCTCGTCTTTACTACAGCAACACCGAGCAGGAGAGAGGYCGAGATCAGGTGGATCTGAAACTCCTGAACTTTCAATCGGAAGCTTTTATGTATGAAGACCTGAGCTCCGAGGAGGAGAAAGATGAAGGTCCCAGCTCTCACCAGAAAGTGGCGTTTTCTTCTAATGCAGGCAACCAGGAGGCCGTTGGGGTGACAACCGTGGTGACCCCCGTGGTGACCCCGAATATCCTCAGAGAAGCTTTAAAGCAGCTGCCTCTGTTAAACGCACTCGTCGCTGAACTCTCCCTGTTGACCGACTCCGTTCAGCCCAGAAACGGCTCCACACCGAACCCTCCGACAGTCAGGGAGGAAGGCTCAGCCGGGAGCAGGAGCTCCAGCAAACCTCGCAGGAAGAAGCTCGTTTACGGAACAACTAAAACCTTTCGTCTGAGGCTGAAGCAAGCTTCCCCCCTCAAAGCGAAACGTCGACAGTGCTCCGGCTCGACGCAGAACGAGCTGAAACCGTCGGTTACTGGGAAACCGAAGAGGGAGCCTGTCGAGTCCAGCAGGAGAACATCTGGGTCGGGTCGGAGCCGCGGCCTCGGTGAAGACATCGAGACGGCGCTGCGGAGCGTCGGGCTGGAACGAAAAGCTSGAGACGACGAACATCCTCGGAGAGAAACTGAACGTGTTCACCTCCCCGGGGTGGACCACGAGCGTCAATCAGATCAGTCCGAGTCGGAGTTTCACCRCGATGGAGTCAAGTTCCTGCAGGAAGGAAGCAGAAGCTCAGAGTCCAGCGCTGATGGACAGGACGATGGAGACTACGCAGATGACTTTCACAGCTTAGAATCCAGTGACGCTTCCCTCCCTGGGAGTCCCGAGTCCTCCAGGTCCGGGGCCGCAAAGCCAGTCCCTGTGCCGGTCAAATCCCCCAGCTCCCCACACCGAGCCCTGAGGGGCACCCACATTCTCCGGCCCCGAAGCTCCTCCGTCGACCGTGACGACGGGGACGTGTCGCCTTCTCTGCAGAGCGTCCGCTCCAGAAAACCCACGCCTGCGGGGGGCCGAGCGGAGCGAAGCTCTTCTGCTGCGAGCTTTTCATCTTCACAAAGCGAAAGGACCGAGTCGCCCAGGGACCGAGGCTCTGTTCAAGGGTTCTCTGACAAATCCACATCCTCCTTTGGGGCTCAGGAGGCAGAGGAAATGGAGGATGAGCTTGGATCTCTGGATTTCAGACAGAAGTATCAGCATATTTCAGAGCTGGTGGCCCCCAGACTCCCCGGGTACACAATGTAAAGAAAAACTGTTTATTTTTACTGAACGCTGCTCTTTTCAATAAAAAAAACTTATTGTTGAAATGTTGTCACAGTTTTCTGACTGAACGACTTAAATATATTAACTGTTGGATAACAAATCTGCTTGGATGAAAACCACCTTTCTGCACTCGACAGTTGTTTTCCWGCCTCCAAAGGTCACCTGCTCATTTGTGTTTTATTTTTCATAACATTTGAATAAAAACAAAACATGGCTTTGCTCTTTTTTCAAAAGGGTCTGTTGTGTTTTGCATGTTATTTTTTCATTATGTCACCTTATCATTTAATCTGTTTCGTCATTTGTCCAACGGTTTGCAACCTACTCATCAAGGTGTGTTCAAAGGGAAATTGTTAAAACAAAAAGACCCTGGAAGGAATGCACATTACCCACTGCCTTTCATGCATTTCATTTTTTTAAAATTGTTTTAACACTCACATTTACTTGTAAAATAATAACTATCATTTTTAGTTTGCGCATTAAACTTACAAATAAGAGTCTGCAAAAGTTGTAAACCATAAGCAGAGAAGAATCAGAAGCTGAGCAATACATCTATTTATTTATTTATTTATTTATTTCACATCCAGTTTACGCCGAAGAGAACTGCGGCCCTCGTTTACTCAACAGAGCATGTGCTCATTTTTAAAATCACAAAATCTGCCTTCAATCGGGCCAAATAAACGAATTCATCCCTTTTTTTATTTAGGATTCCGCTCCGCCCCACACTGCGCATGCGTGAACTCTATTTACGGAAGTGCTGGCTGCGTCTGCAAACCGGTTCGATGATTAAACACGTTTTTCTAACAGGACCTCCAGGTAAATGCAAACACCAGCAGGTCACGGTATCCAGGAATATGTTGCGGTATTTATCTGTCAGCTGCTCGGTTATACATATATACTTTTATATAAATATACAGTTATAAACMATAATAATGTTCCGAACTAGCTAAATAGTTAAATAAACAGCTCAGTTCTTTCAGGTTGTAAAATAAATATGCCGTTGTTTGAATGACTGAAAATATGTTTAAGGCAAATTTAGATTTAAAATATAAATTTTGAACATAAAAGTTTCCCTTTATTTTTATTGTTTTATCATTACAATCTGTGTTTTCACCGCAAACGTAATGTACTTCCGGTTTGATCTGGTCGTTGTATTGCTACAGTTTAGTCAGTTTTAAGTGTGTTGTGCTTTCATGGTTGTTCCTGAGAGTCGTGTTATTCGTGTGAGACCTCAGCTGTGTTTGTTAGTAAAATATCTGATGGACCTCTGAACAGATGTAAAGATACTTTAGGTAAGTAAACACATTTCTGGACAAAAGATGACGTCAGTTTAAAACGATGTAAGATGGTGGGTGTTGTGCATTCCTTCAAGGCATGTGTGAGTGTTTATTGTTCTGCCTGCAGGTGTGGGGAAAACCACTCTGGTGCAGAAAGCCTGTGAAGCTGTGGCGTCGTCCGGAGCCCCAGTCGAAGGCTTTTACACAGAGGAGGTGAGGGAGGGGGGCAGGAGAGTCGGCTTTGATGTCGTCACCCTCACCGGAGAGAGGGGCCACCTGTCCAGAACCAGGTACAGATCATCAGCCCACCCGGGTCAGACTACCTGTTCTCTTTCATCCTGCTGTTTTGACTCTGGCCTCGCAGAGACGGCGCTGGCGTGTCTCGTCACGGCAGGCAGGAGTGCAAGGTGGGACAGTACGTGGTCGACGTGCCCTCGTTTGAAAACCTGGCTCTCCCCCTCTTCAGAAACGTGAGACGCACAACTTTTAAAACCCACAAACCTCCTTACTTACAAATCATCAAAGCTTCGATTCCTCCCTCATCTGAAGGGAATAATTGGAAGCTTGCGAACACGTAAATTCCACAGTGACGTTTTTAGTGTCGGTGGTGCCGTCTGGCTGTCGCTGACCGTGATTAATCCTGCGTGGAGAGGGAGGCGGCTCACGCCTCGCTTTCATCGCTGCAGATTCTCCTGGATTAAAGTCTCACTCACTGCTTCCAGGAGGTGTCGATTAGCAATCTGTAGCTGCAGCTCTGCACCAAAAAGTTTGTTGGATTATTTCTGAACTAGCTGCAAACCCGAACTAAATCCTAAAACGGATTCTCTGATTTGTAATTTCAGCACAATAATTTTCAGAGCCAGAAATGTAACGGTCTTTAAAAATAAATTATTTAAAGGGATCCAGGATTAGTTGTAACATTAGACTTTATTTAATAAACATATATTTTAACTGTAAAATAAAGACTTGTAAAATACTGCAGGCTGTTTAGTTTTTATCATTTTTGAAAAAATATATTATAACACGGACAGAGCCATTTTATTTACACACAAAGCATTCTGGGTAAATGATGACGTGGATAGGTCCTCGGTGCGAGGCTGCTAGCGAGCTATAT